CCTGGACTTGTGGCCCCGCCCCCCGGGCGCCCGGCGCGTGATTGGCCTCGCCCCCGGGCGCCCGGGAGGCTCTAAAGGTTGGGGACCACTGCTGTAGGGAATAAAAGTCTCAGGTCTCCTAATTCTCAGTCCAGTGCCTTAGCTGTTAGATCAGGGGTGGGCAATACTTTTCACAGGGGCACTGCACAAATTTTAGTAAGCTGTCAGGGGCTGCACATTTCTTCTTAATTAAATTATGTCACCATCTGTTCCAGGAGTGGGCAAGATCTGGCCCGTGGAACAATTTGACCTGGCCACAGACTGCATGTGGCACTTACTATTTATGTCCTGCTGCCAGAGCCGTAAGCCTTTTAAATAACCGCAGCAACCCTGGGTAGCGGCCAAGCAATACGGTAGAGGCAGTGATAGTGCTACTTTTTAAAAGGCTTGCAGCTAACACTTTAAATAAGGTCCTGCTGCCTAAGCCATCTCCTGAAAATTCTGTGGCACTGGCAGCAAGACTTAAATAGTAAGCAGCCAGATGCAGTCCGTGGCTGGATCAAATAGTTAGGTGGACCAGAGCCAACCTGCTGGCCATATCTTGCCCAACCCTGTGTAAGACTATGTGGACCCTTCCAAACATTATGAGCAGCTGGCCAATCAAGGGAGAATCTGACACAAGTATTGATTGAAGAATAAAGACTGAGGGTTGCAAAGTGAAATTACGTTCCATGTTGCTGTTTCCTAAAACTGTCCAGAAGGTGAAAGATCCAGGACTGTCCTCCTGTCTCTTATCCAGCTGTTGTGGCCTGTAAGATGTCCTTCCGCCATGGGCTGCGATTGCTATACTGTCAGCTGCCTCTGTTCTCTAGAGAGCTAACCAGAACTTGGTGCAGATATGTTTCAAGCAGTTTGGCACTTCGCTCAGAGACAAGAGCATCAGGTGAGTTAGGTCAGAGAGAAGTCTGACTATAAATTTTTATTTTCACATACTGAGTTTGTAAAAACAGGTCTTGTATCTTATTTGTCTTATCCTCAACTTTGCACTTATTCTAGGTGGCAGATCTCATATGGTAGTCTAGACAGAAAATTAAAACGATTGCTAAAATGAGACATGCATTAGTGCTTCCCTGTAGATATTTTTTAAATGTATATTTTAAAAAGACGTTCACCTATTTATGCTGTTTACTTTTTGCACATCACTCCACATGAGGCATGTTCCAAAGCCAATTTTTGTGGCTTTTAGATCACATTTTCCTATCTGAAAACTGGCTTTTCCCTTTCCCCTATTGTAGTGTGAGGACTTAGAAAATTGATTGTGCCTGACATAAATTTTATTATAAACTTAAAAACCTAAGAGTACTGTGTAAATGTTTAAGAATGAGAGCATGAAACCAGCCAGTCTAGTCTTATTATCTAAGCAGTGATGCAGAGTCCATTGAAATCAATAGGAAATCATCTATTACCTTTTGAGGGCTTTGGATCAGGCCTTTTGTTAGTCTTGTGTAAAGCGGGTAGAGATTTTTCAGTTTTCTATTATGTGGCTTTGTTGATATATTTTTACCTTGATCTAGTGCTAGTCTGTTCCTCAACCTCCTCCTCCCTCTTACCCCCAGCTCTGCCAACATGACTCAGTCCATATCTGCAGTATCTTCTGCTATTTTTGTCCTTGGTCTTTTTTGAGAAGGAATTGACAAATATGGTGAATTATATTTAAATGTCATGTCAACATCAAAGAGCATCATGTTAAAATTAGGATGAAAGACCAGCAAGCCTTTTGTCACTGCTACATAAGTTCATCAAGCCAGGCTGCCAGAATTAGTATACACAGGTTGTTTGACGCAAGGGTGTGGCAAACATGACTGTTCTGATTCTTAGAAAGCTGATGAGGTTCACATATGGCCATGTTTCAAATGTGCCTCCCTAAAGCTGTCCCTGTATTCTTTGGCTATACAGTATTCTTTACAAACCATTTTTGGCAAGATAAGTATTGTTTCCATGCCATCCTTAAAGGCTACTGGCTTCCTCCCAAGAGGTCACTTTAGTAGTGGGAGAAATGATTTGTTTATATAAGGCCATAAAATGCATTTGGATTATTTTTATTTATTTGTGTCACCGTAGTGTTTAGGAGCCCTAATCTGGAGCAGCACCCCATTGTCCTAAGCACTGTGCAAACACAAAACAAAAAACTTTGTGGAGCTGGGACTGTCCTTTTTGTTTTGTGTTTGTACAATGGTCTTTGGATAACAGGACCTAGATTGCTCTCATTGTGCAGCTACGTTAGCATTCGTGCTCCCATTGAAATTGTTTTTCTCAAGATTTCAGTAGCTTTGTGGCTCGGACCAACACTTGCGGAGAGTTGCGTTCTGCTCATGTGGGCCAAGAGGTCGCCTTGTGTGGATGGATTCAGTACCAAAGGTAAATGCAAACCGTGTGGACT